TACATTTTTTATTGTTTTTGGATATAAAGAAATGCCGAAGTTTTCAACAAGAAGAACTTCACAACAGATGACCTTGTTGCTTATATTCTTCATTCTCTTCATCTCTGGACGTGCCTCTCTATTAAATAAACATTAGTGAAGCTAAATTTTCTTTTGGATGATCCTCACTTTCCACTCCCCTAGAAGAGGATTGATGGAAATGAGGAGGGAGAGGCAAGCTAGTGGCTCGAGGATGGCGTATAGTAGTCCGATGATACCGAGTACTTAAGTTAGCTTCTATTATTATTATTATCATCTTGATCTCTGTAATTTGTTTGTAATTAATACCTTCTTTTGTTGCCCAGGGGCTGCAGGAGAAGTCTAATTTCTACGTGGTTTTCTATTTAGTGGATTGTCAATTAGGTTGTATTGTGCTTGTGATGAGTGGCGACTATCTACTTTCCTCACCCTCACAGAACTCTTCTTGACGTAAGGTCTTCTATAGGCTTAGAAATTTTGTTCTCCTATCGATTGCTTTGTATGTTTCGAAGTTTAATATACATTGGTGCTTTGCTTTATTTTTACCTCAAAAAATAAAGAAGCTAAATTGACAAATCGAAGGCACACACAAGACAATAGTAGACCACAAACCAATGCAAGCCAACCAATCACAGCACAAACACAAGATATACGTGGTTCGGCAATATGCCTACGTCCACGGGGCAAGGAGAGGGAAGCTTTACTATTCAAATCAAAGGGGAGTACAAGTTAGGGTTACAAATCTTACCCAAAACCCTCAAATAAGACCAAAAGATCTCTCAAATAGACTCCAACAATAGAAGCCCTCAAATCTCCCTTTGCTCAGCTCAAAATCGCCCAAACTCTTACCCTAAAAACGAGTTTAGGGTATTTATACAACTCCCAAGCGACGCTTCGTCGGTCGACCGGACCGGTCGACCGCGATCAATTCCGGTCGACCGACCCGGTCGACCGACCACCTCCAGCAGAACCCCGAAAGAATCCAGAGAGCCGTCGGTCGACCGGGCCGGTCGACCGACCTCCTTGTGCACGAATCCGGTCGACCGGACCGGTCGACCGCCACCTGTTTTTCCTGATTCTGCTGCTGATGCTGAAATTCCTTCATTAAGTTCATCACTTATCCTTTATAAGTGCATCTCTTATCAATTGACACGTGCCATTTGATTCCATCAGAGTAGGACCCCACAAAATGAACATCAAGGGGGGTTTTTCTATCCTCGATCGAGTTGGTTTTTGCATGGATCGAGAAGCCGAAGAATGGCGGACGCACGTAAAGATCCCCCCCCCCCCTCTCATGTTTATATGCGTCGCATTTTGGCGTTTTCGCATCTTCTTGGATCCAGAGGTAAATTATTTGTTTCGTCTGAACTTAAATTTTAATTTGCCTTTTTTGTGTTTTCATGCCATTTTAGGTATTGTGTTCTTATCGTACTACAAATTTGAGGGGTAAAAAGTTACTACCTTTTGTGAATTAATAAATTTGGCTAAGATGAGCTAAGGACACGGTGCAACTTCAGAGAATTTTTCCGGTGGTTTGTAGACATTTGAATCTAATTTAGCAGCAAAATTTATTCCATTGAATACGTAGAAAGACTTAATATCTGTGGCTGTTTTAGAGTCTCAGATGCCCCCGCGATAGGATTTGCTATGGTGAGAAAACTACCAACTGCGAGAGCTTGAGAATTGATAAGAATATTAATGCTAGCCTAACATTTTAATAAATATTTATTTATTAGATAATTAAATGTTATTACAAAATTATTTTAAATAAATTTATCATTTATTAGCATTAGTTTTTATTAAGTTATTAGTTTATTAATATTAATTTAATAATTTCTACTTTTTCATAAGGAATGTAAGCAGCCAAGAATGATAATAAATTAAATTCGTGACCGGTGAGATTTAAACTTGGATTGCTCTGATGCCGTCTAAAGTCCCTCTGACAATTACACCAAAGCTCTAATTTTTTTTATATGAGAATTGAAGGCTATAGTTTTATATTAATTCCAACATTAACAAAACAAATTTGGACCTTTTGTTCTTAATAACTCTACGAGCAACAAACCAACTTATATAAAAAAAAATGCTAGAAAAAAACATAATAAAAGTTCACTACTATTTATAGACTACATTGAAACTGTCTACTACTACCACATTATATCATGTGTTTTTACGGTACAAGTCGGCATTCTCCTCTACTCTCTTAATTACTCAGTGAAAAGAAAGCCGTAGGCATTCTCATCTTCAAAACTTTCTTATGAGAACTTGAATACTTGAAACTGTCAAAATTGGGCTCTTAACGGGCCTATACAGGCAAAAGCCTACCAGAATTGAACCTAAGTCCACAAGCATTACACAGAGTCTTGGGGCCTAATGGGCCTGGCCTCCACAGTGGTGTTTTGGAGGACAGACACTTGGTGCACCTTTTAGGACCTTGATTCTTAACTTGGGCCTGAACTTGGGCCTTCACCCCTTGCTCTTCTAGCTTCAATTGTGGGCTTCGGCTTCGGCTTATTTTGTTTTCAGTTCCTTTTTTGGGGAAAATGAGCTCCCTATCAGAAAGCCAATAAGCTTGAGGTAGGAGAGAAGGTCGATCTGAGGAGTGGAGGGAGATGTTTTGGTTGGGATTGATTTCTTTTATTTTGGTTCTTGCTTTGGATGTGACAGAGATTGGGTCCTTTTCAGCTTCAGTTGGCTTTGGGCTTACTTGTTGGGCCTCCATTGGGCTTGGAGTTTGGTAAGTGGTACATTTCGGTTTGGAGTTTGCAAAACCTGCAGATGAAATATAATATTAAATGCATGGAAAATACTTTTATCATCTATAAACGATTAAGACGTAGCACCTATTTCATCTTTAAAAAAAAAATAACAAAAGGAGACCAATTCAGAGGCTTAAAGGGAAAGCCCACTCACTAGTAGTAGTAGTGGCAGTAATAATAGCTATATACAAATCACAGTTACCAAAATGGTTTATTACAGTTATTTGATGATATCAACAAGATCAATTCTTTTAGGGGTAATTTCACAAAGCTACCATGAATTTGAGAAGTCTTGCACGAAATTACCATAAGCTTTTTCATTAGAGAAAATAACTGAAAACTTTTTTCTACGCGTGCATATCCTCTCCAATCAGGCACTAATTGAAAAGAGTTCAATTTTCTTAATCCATACCATCTAATCTCAATTACAATGGCAGTAATTGAAAAGAGTTCAATTTTCTTAATCCATACCATCTAATCTCAATTACAATGGATGAGATGGCGACACGTAAGATTTTATCTAGTAGTTTTTACCGCAGTGGTGTTTAAGTTTACTACTAGTTTTCAAGGCCAGAATGGTTTTTAAGTAACAATTGACACCTTACATGACGTGATCTCATCGAAAGTGACATGGATGGTAAGGATTGAGAAAATTGAACTCTCTTCGATTACCGTCTAATTGGAGAGGATACAAATCTTTTATCCTACGCATGTCATGACTCAGTTAGGGTAAGCTGGCAGGTGCAGTGCACGTGACATGTTTTTGACAAATTTGCCCTTTTATGTATTTTAGGCTACATATTAGAAAAATCCCTTTGGATGATTATCACTCATCAGATAACCCTCTGTAACTTTCCAAATATCATATGTTAAAGGTTATTAGAAAACCCCGCTTTTAACTTCAAGATTTTATGAGAAAATTCCCTTATGAAATTTACCCTTCTTTTAATATAGATACTGATATCACTGTTTTATGTCGTAAAGGCACCCAAGCTCAAAGCTGACTGAAATATTCTAGGATGCAGTCCTAGGAAAGATCAGATACAATTCTGATCATCCAGCAGCACTATTTGCACTTTACTAATATTAAAGGTGCTTGCTAGACCTAGTATACGAATCATTAAGCATTGAAAACAATTATAGCTTGTGCAGACTAAAGCAAATGTTTCAAAAAAAACGTCCGAGTAGAAATCAAACACAAATGAATTACCAGAACGGAGATAATATCTTTGCATGTCATGAGAACGGTTATGATAATCCTGAATCCTCTTGTCTGAAATAGTAGTTCCTGCTAAATAGTCATATCTTCAGAATTCCAGTTAAAATCAGTGAACAAAGTTTGCTACTTAAGGATCACAAATTACCTTTGCCTTGAGACTTCTTACCAATCTTCAATGATCTGAATCTATAGTCTCTGCCTTCACATTCAGTGAGATCTATCAAAGTTTTCTCTGTATTTTCGTCCACAATGTGGCACACACCATTTTCTGTAAGAAGAAATTTGCGAGTAACCATCTTTAGTGCTATAACATCCTCCACCCACGAACAGCTTTTTTCCGAAGAAAACATAACGTTGGTTTCATCATCACGCAACTTCTTCACAATATCACAGGGCAGCTCACTAAGAGGAACAGGAATTGTAATGGCAGCCCAATGGTTTCCAGAACTTTCAGTGATGACAACATGGCTAACTGCGTTATTAACATGCTCTGAACTTTTCTCAATTGTTTTCTGCACTTTCAGGTTACTTGTAGGAGTTTTTTCCTTTATTACTTTCTTCAGTGAAGGATGATTCTCAATTTTGCTTCCAAGTCCCAAGCCTTTGAATGTTTTCTCAGCCATCTTTCTTTTAGCTCCAGTGCTCTTTTCGTTTCTTTTCTCGTTCACAACAGGACTAATGGCATTGGAGTGAATGTTACCCACATTCTCTGAACCTTTCTCACTTGTTTTCAGTGCTTTCAAGTTACTTGTAGTACTTTCTTTCCTTGCTTTCTTTGCTGAATAACGATTGTCAATTTTTCTTCCAGGTCCTGAAACGTCAAAAGTTTTCTCAGCTGTCTTTCTTTTAATCCCGGTACTATTTCCATTTCTTTTCTCGTTAACAGCATTGGAATAAATGTTACCAGCATGCTCTGAACTTTTCTGAATTGTTTTCGGCACTTCCAAGTTACATGTAGAAGCCTTTTCTTTCCTTGCTTTCTTCACCGGATTACGATTGTCAATTCTGCTTCTGAGTCCAGAAACTTCAAAGGTTTTACCAGTTGTCTTTGTTTTAGTTCCAGCACTCCTTTCATCTCTTATCTCATCAAATTCTATTATCTCACAAGCATTCACACCAAAGATTCGAACTCTAAACACAAATTTCTCTATGAACTTGAACACTATAAACTGCCCGTGGTTTATAGAGTGATCCAGCACGAAATCATCCCACCCTTCACAAAAGGCCAACCGACCATCGACCATGGATAACTTGACCCTCCAAGATTGACTATTTGAATCTCTGAGAATCACAGTTTGCTTATCCAGGCATCCAATTGCCTTGGCGAGTTTCAGGGGAATATGCTGCATGTATTGGAAATGGAACCATATACATAATGTTATTAGCATCATTATTAGGTATAAAAGTCTTGAATCAATGAGAAAGATTGATCAACATTTAACATTTGCGCCATCTTTTCTATATTCAGTTGGAGATTGAACAAGAACATAATAGATAACAGAAAATCAACCTATGGACTGTAAGAATCCGAAAAACTCTAATAAGGTTTTAGAAGTGATAATTTATCTGCTCATGTTAATACCTAGTCAAACAATAATCAAATTCTTTGTCGCAATCATCAACTGTAAACATGTTACTCATATACATAAGTTTAGAGTAAAGTTCATAAAGATACCTCAACTATAAGGATTTATCACAGAAAAAATACCATAAACTATTTTTATTAGGAAAAATATCACAAACTTTTAGAAAACTACGTATGAAATAAATAGAAAGAATTTTATTTGTCTCCCATGAATTTTGTGGCTTAATTTCGAAACCACCCCACCCCCACAAAAAAAAAAGATAAAAAAAGATCAGGAGGGGAAAAAACTCCTTGAACTTTTTTTATTTAACACAACCACGTGTGAATTGGAAAATGTGTAAATTGAGAATTTTCTCTTAAGGACATTTTAGTTATTTACCAATTAGAGGGTCCGGTAAGAAATTTTAAAACCTCAGGGGGATTATGTGCAAATCCACCCAAAGATCAGAGCTTTAGTTAGTGAAATTAACCCATGAATTTTCAGACAATAACGCCAAATTTCCATGAAGCTTACACAATTGTCAAATATCTATCATGTATCTTCATGTACTATCATAAAACTACCACATAATATTATATATAGCAATAAATGGCGATGTTTTTTATGATTAAAAAGTTTATGATATTTTTTTCTTAATACGAACATATTATGGTAGTTTGGTACGAAATCCTAGGGGTTTTGCACAAAAAAGACCATGAGCTACTAGGGATATTGCATCCAACCAACTACTGGGGTTTTTGCACAAAATTACGTTTTGCACAAAATTACCAGAAACTCTTTTTATTAAATAAAAATATCACAATTTTGCACTCATGAATTGAATAACATGAACTTTTGGTTATGTTTCACAAAACTACCATGAATTTTCAAATAATGTCTATCATGTATTATTCTACCATAAGGTACACATCATAATCAAATATCAATCATGTATTATTGTACAACTATCATAAATTTTTCTATAATTTTTCTGACTTAAACTTTATGATATTTCTCTCTAGTAAAATATCTTACAGCAGTTTTTCTTTTAATAACAAAATCCTAATAAGTCATAGTAGTTTTGTAAAGTTTTACACGTATGGATGTTTCAGCATTGCTTAGGGTGCTTTTCTCCAAATTACCCAGAAAACATATTAGGGTTTAGGCTTTGTTAACCAAATTATATTCTACACCCACTTAAAGAATCCAAACAAAAAGAGAGCAAAAAAAAAAAAAGAGTGAGAGAGTAAAATTTACCAGAACATGTTTGAAATCGCCAAGCATGATCTTGAAAAAGGAAGAAGGAATCTGATCGTGGGTCTTCAAGAACTCAGTCGATCTCCTCTCCATTGCTCTCCTTCTCCCTTTGTTTTGATGCGCCATTGGCTTTCTTTAACACCAAAAAATAGTTGTCAGGAGATTTCGGCTCATTGTTTCCTCATAAAAGTGGCAGCTTTTTATTGTCTTCTGGCATTTATTTATATACCTGATTTTTAATTTGTCCGTCTCCTTTGGGCCTCCGCATTGAATTTTTCCCTTCTTTATGGGCTTTAATGCTGGAAAGACACTTGATTGCCAAGAATCAGAGGTGCACGAGTAATCGTGATCAACGGACCGAAATATCTGTTTTCAGGGTCTTTTTTTTTTAATGTTAGTTCTTTACATACTACTGTGCACCCCGTGTAAAACACGACCACATTTTTTTTATTTCTGCTACAGTAATTCTTTTTTAGATACTACAAAATTTTTTAATACTATAGTATTTTTTTCAAAAAATGATGTATTATTCTGTTTTGTGCTATAGTAATAATGCTACAATAATTTATTGTTGTAGTTACTGTAGCATAAATAGTAAACATTTAGATCATTCTGTAAGTATAGAGGAGTAGATTTAATATTTTGAAAGTAGACCTTCAAATCATTGAGCTAAGTTGTTGTTAGGCCTTATAAATTGCTTCAAACTTGTTAACCTAAATCATTAAAGCTGCTATTAGGTCCCCTAGTTATCATAAGCTTCCCCAAAATTAGTCTCTCAAATCACCGTATTGCTATTGGGTCCCAGATAAGTTGGTTCAAATTAATCCCCCTAGTCGAGAACAACATTTTAAAGATATAAGAATTAAAGTCATGTTTGCTTTTTAAATAGGAAATTAATTTAAAAAATCTGAACCAATCTTTTAATCTCTTATTTTCCCCCCTATCTGATTGGGACTATTTTTAGGAAGGGACTACATAATCCCTAAAAAGGGGATTAATTTAAACTCATTTCACGCCATCTTTACAATCTAAATATTAATGAAGTAGAGGGAATTAAGATTTGGAGACAAATTCCCCTTATTCTTTTCCTTTTCCAGCAAACATTTATCTATGCGGTTCGGGTTTTTTTTTTCAATACTTATTTCTTGTGACCAGCCGTCGAATTTTCCCCCCACAACATCTTAATTCATCTAGAGCCAAACCAACTGTAACGTCCAAAATCCACGCTAGGCATTTTGGTTGGCTCCTCATTACATTCAAACTTCTAAAACTGACCAAGGCTCGCACCGAAAAAATGAAAAATAAAATAAAAATAACAGAGGTTTAGCAAGGGCTAATATTTCAAATTGGGGTTTTTTTTGAAACCCTCAATTGACACCGGCTTAAATGCACCGTAAAAATAATTTAATATAAAGTAATAAATATCAAACAAGCACAACTAGAATGATCATACATCCTTTTTTAAAGCAAACTGTTCTCTTAATGATTGAAGTGTAGATTTGAAAAAACGTCGATGAAATTGAGATCCAAGTGCAGCTAAGGATAGATGATTAGATGAAGAATAACATCGAGGATGCTTTTTGAGAAGCTAACAGTAAATGATTGGATGATGATTGAAACCATAGCTCGCTCGCTCGCTCCCTTTTTCTTTTTCTCTCTAATGTAGGTTAGAAACCTCTAATAAAAAAGGCGAGGAAAGATTCTATATATCTCTAGCAATGAACAGCTTAGATCGAATCTAAATTAGACTAGAACTTTAAAATCTAGCAGCCACTCATTAGTGGGCAAGTTTGCTCATCGATGGGCAAGTTTGCTCATCGATGGGCAAGAGGTATACGGACTTGTTTATTATGCCAAGGGTTTTCCAAAAAATATTACAAATAGTAATCCCGATAACTGAGTCAAAAGTTATGTCTGTGTAAGTTTTAGCATCTGTGTATGTTTCCAACATGTTGCTAATTGTTTTGACCCTAATTAGCTAAAAAATCTGAATTGAGTTCCGTTTATTTTTGTAGACATTCTATCTCAAGTTATACAGATCCGAAGAGTTCCATTTGTTTTTGTAGATTCCTGATGATAATATGGACACTCCCATTTGCTCAAACATAATTTTTACTTCTAATTTTTTTTTCTTCCAAATTTGCCTGTGATTAACTCATTCTTTTGCTCTCTATATAGATATTCTGAATCAATGGGGGCGTGTAAATCAATGACCAAGTAGTGCTCATCGATGAGTGAGCTCATCAATAGATGAGGCCTCTCTAGAGAAAAATTGCCATTGATTTAGAGTTGTTGATTGATGAATCAGGTCCAGTTTCATCAATAAGAACCAAGGCTCATCGATGGGCAATCGACTCATCGACGGAAAAAGAACTGAAAAACACTCTGTTGAGCTAAAACTTCTTCCATTTGTTCTCAATATCGATTCTTGCCTATATAAACCTACACAAGTCATATCAAATACATATTAGACCAATATGAAGATTTGTTATTCATCAAACTAAGTTAATTTTACAAACATATTCCTAATAATAAGATCCCCAATCCCCACTGTAATACATACGAAACAAAAATAGCCAAATAGGTGATTGTGGTATTAGTAATGCATAAACAAAAGATTTCATTGAAAAGTTCAAACTACTTTCTCTCGAGATGAAGTAGATACTTAATACTTTAGTACTGTTTATTTTATTTCTTTTTCTTAGTAGATGATGTTCAAGTATTGTTTGATACTTTTTGTTGAAGAATTTCATCTTTAATTCAATGTTTTCATTTTTCACGACTCCGTTTTATTAATTGAATAGGATTATTTATTGTATCATGATAGGTACAGTGCGGTATGTCTATTTTTAGACATTTTTTAGTTGACTTGAGGGCAAAAAAATCATTCTGGTTATGATATTAGCTCGAATAGTCATAATCCCCCTAAAAATAAATGATAACTCGATTTAAATTAGACTGTGTGAAAATAAACATTAGTTTAAACTAAAATAGTCCTAGAATAATACAGTCCTAGTCAGTCTTAGTAAGATAGTCTAGGGAATATAATATCCCAAGTCTGAGGTTGAAAAAAAAAAACTTGGCCTATATCATTTCCAAATTTCCTTCTTCATATCTAACATTTGGTTAGAGCTTTTCACTTTAGGGCATGTTTGTTTACACGAAAGTAACTATGAAATAGCAGAAGTAGATGAAGTAGAAGCTACTTCTGCTACTTCTAGACAAAAATATATATTTGTTTTTCTTGAAAATCTACTTCCACTACTTCCTTAAATGATGATGTGGGATCTACGTGGCATCTCCATTTCCTTAATTTTTTTTTCCGTCTAAAAATCTTGGAAATACGGCGGAAGTCATGTAGGATGGGTCCACCAGGAAAAAAAAAACGAATTAGTTCTTATCTATATCCTCACAACCAACCGACTCTTCCCCTTCTAATATATCCTCACAACCGACTTCGCGCGGTTCCCTCAATTCCTTAGTATAATATATGCTCTTGGTGTTGCTCGGCTTTTGGCTTCCTTGGTCCAACCGACATGATGAATGTGGTCATTCTGATGGGTTTCTGAAATTCCTACCAAGGAGTTTTGAGTCCAGGCTGATATTGTGGTGGCGGATATGCATATTGGCGTCTGTTTTGTGCTCCCCACTAGGTGGGATCTTTTTGTAGCTGCTACCTGTGTAGCAGATAGTTTGGCTCCAGTTTCTTTTGGTTTTGTTCAGGGGCTTTATGTTCATAGCTCAATAGTCTTTTGTAATAGGTTCTTATGTGTTTTTGTAACCTTAAAGTGAGGGATGCCTTACGTGATAATGTAGTTGCTTCAAAGTTCATGGAAGCATTATGTAACTTTTAAATATATCAATGAAATTTTCCCTTTAGAAAAAATCTCGGTCGGTGCATGTGCACAGCTTGTATTTGCTCCTATAGATGAGTCTTTTGCTGATAATGCTCCCTTGCTATCCTCAGGGTTCCGTGTCATATCCCTTGACCCAAAAATGGTAAGATTACATTTATTATATATCAAGCAAATCAACTATGAATATTGGTCTTTTCAATTGATGGCAACAACAACTCTATTTCTATTTCAATGACAATCCAAACAAGAATAAAATGGAAGCAACATGTATTAGTTACTTCCTATTAATATTTCTAAAAATTATCCAAAAAAAAAAATAAAGATGAAGAAGTTCTACTTCCATTAGTTCTAAAAATATATGAAACAAATAAAAAAAATATCATTTCCGCTACTTCCTATTTCATAGTCTTGGAAGTTACTTCCGTAACTTACTTCTTACTTCCAATACTTTCATTATCCAAACGGGCCCTTAGCTAGAGCTGAAGAATCTAAATGGAAACAAAGATGTAGAATTCAATGGCTCAAAAAAGGGGATAATAATACTTCTTTCTTCCATAGATCTGCCTCTTTTCACAGAAGAAAAATTTCATTCCTCATCTTATTTCTAACAACACTATCATCTCCTCAGAGACAGATATCAAGCCGTCTTTTTATGACTTTTTCGCAGATCTCTTCAAAGCCCCTAGAGACTCTAACCTTCTGGTTAACTGGGAAATGTTATATCCTGCTCCTTCCCCAAATCTCTCCTCTCTCGATCCTGTTTTCACCCCAGAAGAAATCAAGAGGGCAGTCTTTGATTTGCACCCAGACAAATCCCCTGGACCTGATGGTCTCCCAATGTTCTTCTTTCATACCTTCTGGAATAACTTGCAATTGGATATCATCTCCTTCATTCAATCACTCTATTCTGATGTCCACATGCTGCATAACTTCAACTACTCTTTCATCTGCCTAATCCCCAAGAAGGATGGTGCAGATTCCCCAAAAGACTTCAGACCCATTAGCCTGATCAATAGCTCCGTCAAAATCTTTTCTAAAGTGTTGGCTAACAGACTCAAACCACTCTTATCCTCTCTTATCGACTCATCCCAATCTGCTTTTCAGAGTGGCAAGTCAACTTTAGATTCTATCCTCCTTGCTCACGAGATGATCAATCATTGCTCTTCAGGTAAAAAAGAGATGTGTGCCATCAAAGTAGACTTCTTTAAAGCCTTTGATTGTGTTAATTGGAATTTCCTCTCCTCTCTTCTTCTTGCTAGAGGTTTCAGTCCATCTTGGTGTCATTGGATTCACTGCATCCTTTCATCCTCCAAAGCAGCTGTCTTAGTTAATGGATCCCCTACC